CCCCAAAACCCCAAAACCCCAAAACCCCAGCAGTATAGAATAAGATAATTTAAAGAATTATTATTAAAATTTGTATTTTGTATATTTTTTGAATGAAAAAAATGAAGAAAATTGTATTTAAAGATTTTAGTTAATCATAATATATAATGATTTAAAAGTTTTTATGAGACAAAGCCTGATAAACTACCGTCTGTACATCGCAACTATCATCAACACTCACTTAATAAACAAAATTAGAGTGAAGATGAAAGTTGGTCGGGTTTCACAGTAGTTCACTGTAATGGAGCAGTGTGATTCTTTTGGAATCTCTTAAATTAATCGTAATTCCACTTGTAAACCTGGGTTTCACCTAGATCTAACCGGCTTGAGAGTTCACGAACCAGGGTTTTTTCCCATAGAGTTGGCTGCTTCTTGAATATAGCTTCAAGTTAAGCCTTTTACTCGCGGGACTTAGTGTTTTTCTTCTTGCGGAGATTTTCTTCAGAGATGTTACGCTTTGATAACTTGATTATCCTCTCAGGTCTGTGATCTGAATCGGTGTGATCACTTTCTGGGGTACAAAGAGATACTATATAGTTAACCTAGTCATTTAAACTATTAAACTTTGGAATCTATTGTAATGCGGATTTTTTAATGTCAAAAATACCATTAAAAACCTCTGAGGTAATATCATTATCCTCAATATCAGAGAAATCTTGAGTATATTCTTAATTATCTCCGGCTTCAATTGATTGTGGAACGAGATCCGAGCAGCAAGTTGATGGTGAAATAGGTGCACTATTGGGAGCAGTGGCAGTTTACTGTAGTTTAAGTTTATCTATTGAATCTTCAAAGTACTTATTTAGTTTAATTGAAGAGAAAGTGTGTTCATAGGGAAGTTCTTAGGAAAATTCGTCGTATATCATGTTAGCAAGCTCAGTGGCGGTATAAGCACATTGTTTACCGAATAAATTGTAGTCACACTAGGTCAAGGTAGAGGTTTCTTATAACTTTTGGAAGAGATTGTTGAAGGAGTCCTCAAATGGAGAGACATATTCTTATTCTTATTGAGATGTAATCATGTGGATGATTAGTTTGATAGCTTTATTTTTAATATTTTAAGTTTAATGTACGTTGGTTCGGCTTAAATAAACTCAATTAAGCAGAAATATAATTAATTCGAAAATTAATAATGTATTGAAATTGTATATGTGCTTTAATTTCTGATCTTACATCGGTATCCTGATCAATGGGGTTTTGGGGTTTTGGGGTTTTGGGGAGATCGGAAGAGC